AATCTCAGTGTACTGTACTATGGTGCAATGATAATAAAGCTTATTCTGATTCTTCTGATTCTGATTCTGCAGCTTCGATTTAATTTTATGTGCAGTTCATGGTTTGGAAACATTGTCCTATTTAGCTTTTGGACTAGTTTCTTCACTTTTGTTGGCTTGTTTCAAAGCATAGAAATAATATAATTTCTTATTCAACATGAATTATATGGCAACATGTCTCCGTGCCTGCTTGCTTCACCAGAACAACTCATTGAAAGAGTTTTTGTTTAGTAGCTAAATATGTAAGTGTGTGTGCTGATGTGGATATAGTGATCAGAGTTAGACAGCGGCTCTCCTTCGTCTGTTATTGTCTTATTACTATGGGTCTTAAATGGAATGAGGGCCTTTTCTTGGTCCTTTCAACTTGCTGCTTTGTTAACTTCAAACCCTTAAAGCTCCTGCAGTGTATCTGCTGCTTCTCTCTGCTGCTTCGCTCAGTTTGGACTGCAGCTCTTGAAGTTTTCTACCTGTTCTCTGCGCTCTTTGAGACATCCCAGCCTGTGAAGGTTTCTTCTTCTTCAGATTTCATAGGAGGGAAAGCTGGTAATGCATGCAGCGCATGTTCTGACCTTCCCCAACCGTTGTGTCATTTGAAAGTGTAAACCTTCCTCTTTTCATCTGTCTTATCCTAAAAAAAGAGCAACTGTTCCACTTCCTAACAGAGTGAGAAAAGGACACATTTGAAAACCATCCTCACCCCGATCATCCCACCTCTATTTGATTAGTTTGTGAGGAGCTTATAATATTCTTTATCTTCAGCACGTTTTCGTCTTACAGTTAATTATGCTCCATTTTGATAAGTTGATGACTATTATGTCATCTCCAGCACAAATGAAAGACAGGACATGAAAGATTTGATATCAGTCTTCAAATCCTGATTATCGCACAATAACTACGTCGGTCCAGAACAAGAGAGCATAATTAATTAGTTATTCTGATGGAAGACTTTGCTTAAAAAATAAAATCTCTTGGAACGTGCGTGTTGCTTGTAGGTTGGAACTGAACTTTCTTCTTGGCGTTTGTTTATGAAGGGAAGGAAAAGCAGCAGAGGTGTGTGCAGACATTTCCTTCTGAGCTGCTAATGCTACTGGAGGACAATCGCAGATGGAGCTCCTATAAAAATGTGTGTGAGCATGGCAGGGTTCCAAAGTGTGGGAAATGTGTGTTTGATCCACTGCTCGTCTTTAATGAAGTGCAGGAGGCTAAGTCCGTGCACAAATTCAACTTCATTACTGCAGGTGAGGCCGGGTTCTGTCTTGCCCTCAGAAAAGAGGCACTGTAAAGACAACTGGAGCCGGTTGGACGCTGCATCACCTACTTTCAAATGCTCTGGTCTTTTGAACTGCCTCTTCTCTCTGTACGCAAGGCGAGGTTTTTAATTTGCTCCATAATAGAATTCATCTCAAGCATCTCAGCCCATTAAGTGTTCTGCGTTTGTCGCAGGCTGAAGAGCAGCCGAGCTGGATGGATTTCATTAGACAATCTGGGGCAGCAGAGGCACAGGAAGCTCTTTCCCTCTCCTCTTTTCGTGTGATTCTTGTTTTAGTGTTCCTAACTCTTGATTTCATATGTCACTCTCCTTTTTTCGCCCGCTGCCTGAACTCCACATCTTACTGGTCTAATGTGCGAGAAAGCTTTTCCTTTTCCCTACACTATGCCAGTTAGGCACTTACAGCTTCAGGGTTGGGATTGCCGTCCTTTCAGCTGATGTATTTTACTAAGTGAAACTAAGAGCTTCATCATTTTTGCCTTCTCTTGGTCATTTTCCCATTTATTATAACCTCATCTGTGCCATCTGCCCCTTCTGGGGGCAACATCAGGTCTTAGTGGACCTCTCACTGCATCTTAAAAGCATTAACTGTGGGAAGGGACTGATGGATGGTAATGGCCTATCTCGACGTAACGTCCCTGAGCGCCTCTCAAGTGGGCTGTGAGCTCCTTCCAGGTCAGAAGAAGAGCTAAGATGAAAGTAAAATGTCACTGAAAACCATAGGTGAGCTAGAAAAAATCTTAATGTATTACCTCAGATAAAGACCGAGGCCTTTATTTAATTAACTACACAAGACACCAGCCCGTTATAACAGGCAGGCTTTGACTTCTTATTCTCACTTTCTGCATGATTTGTAATTTTATTCCAGGCCTTAATTTTGTCCGAGGTGCAGATAAACTCTTGTGCCTGTTTTTCAAGTCAACCATTCATTTAAATAGGAAAATCTACAATCAACTGGCAAAGCAGTAACTTCTATTTCTTCTCTAAAATTTGCCTAAAGGATGTTAAGATGTTTATATTCTCACGGTGGATTTTCTAAGAGCAACTGATGCACGAATGAATAAAGTTACAGCAAAATATCACAGATTCCTCAGTGTCCATCAAATTAAAATTCTTTCTGAATGTAAGTGGATAAAACCACTTCTGTTTTCTACCAGGACTTTGTTCTTCTGAAAAGATGTCTTTGGACAATATGGAGCGGCAGATCAGACTCGTCTGAAGTGGACAGTCAGGTCGTTTTCACACCTGATGGTCCGGTAGACTCGGTTTGATCGGGACCAAAATTCAGCACATGTATTTACATGTCAGCTGGTGCGGTTCACTCACACTGCACCGAGTCAGTCGACCTGTTCCCCCGCTCGCCTGTGGTGGCGCTGCACCAAGAACTACTGAAGAACACGACACAAAACTCTGAAAAAGACGCTTCTTCTTCTTCTTCTTGTGAAAATAAAAACAAAAATGGAGTGGCCTCAGATTTTTAGCAGTTTCAGGATTTCTGTTTTGTCATTGTTCAACAATGGACTCAGCATGAGCGGAAGATGAGGAGAAGATCATGGAGAATGTTGTTTTTCACACAAGGCGGCTGACGGCTGAGGTAAGGGAAATGTGTGTTTGTTTTGGTTGTTTTTACCCAGAATGCCCTGCACTGTAGTCCACTTCCTGCTTTTGGAACGGTCAACAGTCCACTTGCACTCACACTGCATTCTAGAGTTCACTTCAACTGAACCGAGACCTAGGTATTTAGGTGGACCAGAGTTCACTTTTTGGTCACATCAGAGTTCGATTGCACATTCACACCTCCCCAAACGAACCGGACTTTCTAGGCAAACGGACTAGAGTTTGTTTAAACAGGGCTGGTATGAAAGCACCCTTACAAACACTTAAAAAAATTAATTAATTAAACATATACAATGATTTTTTCCTGCCTGTCTTGCTTCCTCCCAGCTTTTATGAAAATACCAAAGTGTTTTCTTTAAGGAAAATACTTTAGCTCGTTGGGATTCTTGGTACTGGACTTAAATATTTAGTTTCCTCGAGCTTTTCAAATTAAAACGTTCATCTGATGTGAAGCTAACTAGGAGGCAGCAGGTCGACGGTAACAGTGAGAGAGCTGAAAGGCAAGCAGACACGAAATAAAAGAACACCCTGAAAGAGGGGTGAGGCAGGGACAATGCTGGAAAGAGTTTAGGACGAGAGGGGGGGCGGTTGATGGTGGATGGTGGTGGTGGGGGGACACAGGGCACCGGCATCCCTAAGTCGACCCCTGGGGGATTCCCTCTCAGATAAACGGTGGGGAATGTGACCTAACGCCCAGGAAATGGTCATGTTTAATTTAACAAGCAGATGGCCGGGACATATGACGAGGGAGCGTGCATGTGAGTGTGTGTGCATGTGAGTGTGTGTGCATGTGAGTGTGTGTGCATGTGAGTGTGTTTGGGGGCATTAGTGGTAAAGCAACAATCCTGCCTGCAGGACTGTCGCAGCCTACAGCTCTTCTAATGTTGAGAGGCTTCATGACAGAGGTCCTCGTGTTCACGTAAACAGGGACACGCATGAACAAAGTAACTAACAGCAAAGTTTAATGTCTTTTTTAATCATCAGTGACAAACTAACAGCTAAAAAAGGCTGGTAAATATTGTCCTTCTGGGATATTTAAATATTTATTTGACACAACCCCATAAAAAGACTTAAAATTATTTCATCCATCCATTATCTTCTACCCACTTCTTCCATTTTGGGTCACGTGGTGTCGCCGGTGTCCATTAGTAATCACTGTGTGAAAGACGGGGGACACCCTGGACATGTCTCCAGTCCATCACAGGGACACAGAGACAAACGAGACAACCATTCACTCTCTCTCACCTAGGGACAATTTAGAGTTACCAATCAGACTAACATGCATGTTTTTGGTCTGTGGGAGGAAACTGGAGCACCTGAAGAAAACCCACGCAGCACGGAGAGAACATGCAAACTCCACCCAGGAAGGCCCCTGGACCGGGATTTGAACCAGGGACCTGCCCGCTGAGAGGCAGCGGCTTTACCAGTTGTGCCGCCCTTAAAATTATTTCAACTAAATATTAAAGCCCAAAATATGGAAATAGTGTGATGTAAAATTATACACAGCAACTTTGTGTTAGTTGTTATTACTAAGTTTTTTGTTTTGTTTTATATCAGTTGTATCAAATCATAAAAGTAAATGTTGTTTTGGTTTTCTAGGATATATCCAAGTTTGGCAATTGTTTTTTGTTTGTATAAATAAATAAAAATCTACAGTTTTTAGATGTATTGGGACTTCCATCGTCCAAAAAATACCATTAAAGTTGCATTTAGGAGTGTTAAAAAAAACAACCTGTAATTGTTTTATGAAGAATATTTTTAGTAGATTTACAACTGTAGGAAAAGTTGTGAATATTTTTTTTTAATCCCTGCGTGTGCTCAAAGCTCCAAAAACGTGTTGCCTTGTTGAAGCGGTGAACGGCAACAGATTCATTACGGTTCTGTCGTGATGTCCTAACCACAGTGACAAGTCGTTGCATGAGTTAAAGAGTTTGTTTCCACAGAAGAAATACTTCAAACATTTTATGAATCTACATAAGATGAAAAGAAAACACCTTTCCAGTCCCAGCTTTGGTAAAGGCACGGCTTTTGTGTTTGTTGTGAGTGGAGAAAAATGATTGTGTGTTTTTCTTGCCTCAGGTAGTCCCTGCGACAGAGGATGAGGTTGGCTTTCGTGTACAGGGTGGAGCCCACCTCCCCCAGGCGGCAGTCGCAGCAGGCACATTTGAGACAGTCCTCATGCCAGTATTTGTCCAGGGCCTTGAGCAGGTAGCGGTCTTTAATCTTGCGATTGCAGCCAGCGCACCCCTTCTGTTTCCCTTTGGGCTGGACAGAGAGCATCGGCACACCTGTAGTGATAAGGAGACAAACAGCCACGCGTGATTTACGGCCTGGGAACACGAGTGACTTTTCATGTTCTTCTTTTGATAAGCTGGCTGCTTCTCAAGGCGTCTAAGCCTGGCCTCGCGCACGGCCACAGCACACTGCCTAGCTGCTTCATATGCATTAAAGAAAACGCTCTTCCATGTAGATAGGCAGCCGGGTCACATTGGACTACACCGCACTGACTCGCTTGTTCAAAGAAGAACACGCTGCGTTACAAAAGTTACACGATCACAGGCTGGGGGCGTCAAAGGACGGGCCATGTCATGAATTTCTAAGAACAAAAGACACAATGTGTATTTAGCTTACTGTGGTATTTACAACAAGCTGTGTAGCGTGTTACTTACCTACCATTTCATCAAAACCCATTTCACTCAACTGTCCACAGCTGTAAAAGCTCCTCATGGGCTTTGTTTGGTATAGATTAACATTAACCTTTTAAAAAGCCTCTGACCACAAAAACGTTGCTACCAGGCCCCAGTGAGATATGTTATGGCCTAAGTGCCTTTTAGCATACACTCACTCTGTGTGTATTTCATAAAGGGACACACACAACAGCACAAAAACCTCAGACACACACACACAATGCTCCCCACTCTCCGAGCATTACAGCCTTTCCTCCTTTTACACTTATCTGTACTCATGTGTCTGCAATGAGCGAGCCTAAGTTACCAAACTCGCAAATTGCCCTGCTGTCACGCAGGTCCCCTTTAAGTGCGCCTTTTAGCCTCCTAAAGGACAAATAAAGTCCATTTAATAACTGCACTAAACACTAATAGTCTATGTGTGGCTGACATTTGTGTTTGGACTAAAAGCCCCCCTCAGGCCACTGCTGGTACGGAGGCAGGGGTGCGTAGCTCCCCTCTGTAGCACTAACAGGTCTGCCACAGCTGAAAGCACAAGACAACAGCTCTTAAGACACTCTCTCACATACTGAGCTATTGATCCGTCTAAAAGAACACACAGTGGACGCCACTTGCAACTCTACTTTCCAAACACATTTGTCTCTCTCCTAAGAAAAAAATGAAAGAAAGGGGAAAAATGGGCTGGACATCTGCTCCGCGGGGGGTTAGGCCAACATTTTGTGTGTCTGAGTGGCTGGAAAGACGTATTTGACACATTATACAAAGTTTTATATAAAAATGCACAGATTTTTTTTTTTTTTTAAATTCTGAGCAGTTCAGATACGTTTTTTTTTTATTAATTTCCAACTCTTTGGCAGGAAAATATGCAGCGCAGGAACGGCGTTCTGTGTGTTTAGACCTGCTATTTGGCTTTGCTTTGCTGAGCGATTAAAAAAACAACCTCAGCGGGTAAGAAGGGACCGCTGCTGTCTGTGCTGCTTTTCTCAGCTAGGTTTATTGAGTTTGCTCTCTCCCACAAAAGTCTTACACCACATTTCAGACGAAGTTGTTTCAGAATAGAAACCCCCCTTTGTCTTTTTTTTAACCGTGACGCTCACATACAGGGAAAAGGAACTGTTGTATCCAGATCTGACCTGGAAACTCCATCCATCCTTGCATCAATATTGCTACGAGTGTGATATAATTAGCATTTCCTTTTTTAAAAAGAGGTGAAATAAATGGGAAAGCTTGTTAGTCAAATTTATGGCTCTAGTTTGTATGTCAGAGTAAGTGCTCCGGTGCTGTTGGACAGTCTTATTTCTTTATCAGAAGTAGAAAGGAGAGGCTAATTGGTCTGGTTCTAGTGATGGGAGCCATCAATTAGTGTTCTGCCTGCCCTCCAGCTCCCTCATCTCCCTCCCTCCCCAAAACAGACCCCTTGAAGCTGCCGCATTAGGATCACAAAACCTGCTATAAATACCAATGTTCAGTGTAAATGAAGCTAAAAAGCTTCAAATTCAAGCCACACTGACTTGGGGCGGACTCCTCCACCTGTATTTCATGGCTTGTTAGGGGAGCTCTCTGCAGGTACGCCAGCAGCGCTCGCCTGACAGGTTTCTACAGAACTAAAAACAGTCTTAATGAGGGGAGAGTGTGTGTGTGTGTGTGTGTGGGGGGGGGGGGGGGGTGTACACACATGTGATTCAAAGCTCGTGTTAAGATATAAAAAAAGAAGTTGCTGTAATTCCCTGAAGGATCACAAAAATCTTTAATTTGTCTTTTATGGCTCCTAATTAGTTATTCTACTCCAAATCTTTGCTTTAAATAAGAGAACTAATGAAAAGGTCGTTCCTCCACCTCCTGAGAACCACCCCTAACTGGTTGAGACCTCCACCCGCCACACGCTCCTCGAACAGATTGCTTGTGTTTTACATCACGTTTGAAAAGGACGAAGCTTAACCGATCGTGGAGTCGCTGTGCGCTGCTCATGGGCACCTCCGGATGTTTGAAGCTCTGCACAGCATTCATGATGAAGTGACATCACACTTTACGTCTAATTTGCTCCATGTTTGCAGTTAATCTGACATTTGTTTCTATGTATGCAGGTCCTTTAATCCTAAATGTTGTAGAGATGTTTAAGTTTCTTCTTTGAAGCCATCGTGAAGAGAAGCACAAGTTTGATGTCTTCTACCAAAGCATCTTCTGGAAAACGGTTTGCACAAGCTGTTCCTAAAACCTACCACACAACAACTAAAACCCAGCTGTGACAAAAGGAAAGTGATTGTGTAAAGTAAATGTCTTTTCAATTCTCCTTAACGCCATGAGACATTTCCCTGCACCTGTCACCGCTCCGCAGAACGGTAAAGTAGAACACAACCTCCAATTCTTGGCACCTCCCAGAAAGAAAAGCAGCATTATGAAAGGAAGCAGCAGACTAGGAGGCAGCCTCCACTTAATCCATTCCATTTAACAGATACAAGTGCCGCTGACCTTCCGGTGTCATTTGATGTCACCAAAAGTATGCCTCTCCACATCCCAATTCATCCTTCCAACAAGGGATGCATTTTACCCCTCAAAACTGGAAACACAGCTCTTGTCCTGCCAAATATCCATCCTGAGGGGGGAATTTAATTTGCCATTAGTACTGTGTGTAAAGCCCTGTCCTCTCTCTCTCTCTCTCTCTCTCTTTGAGATTATATCTTTAAAGAATATGTACAGTTAGTTTTGACTCAGCCCGAGCGCTCTGTCGGAGCATGTATTTTCATTATAGATAGCATCCGATTTCTGTTACCCTATTTACGCTTCCATTTTTACAGCTATCAAAACAACCGACTCTGTCCACTAACCTTTTTCATATATACATTGAAGTTTTTAAGGGAAAAGATGTCGTATGGAGCGCCCGTGGAAAGGTCTGGAAACAGAAAAATACAGTTGGAAAAGAACTCGGCCTCTATTTGAGTTCACTGTTTGAATGGTTTGGCTCCTGTATTTTTTTAAAGCATCTAAATGTTTTATTCAGTCAAATAAAAAAAAAAAAGATTTCTTATCAATCCTTTGACTGGTTTTTAATTCAACATAAATTGCAGTATCGATATCACGTTTCTTTTTGCGCTGCTTCTGTTTGTGTTTAGTTGCAGAGGTTAACGTTGAAGAAATTATAAAAGTCAAACTTTGACAGTGGCTTTCAAACGCCTCTTCTGATGTTTAGAGATCAGAGAAGCCGATGGCTCATTTATGAAGCTGAGTTGTTTCTTTTCAGCAGGTAAATTCAACAGTTTATTAGGCACACACTGAAACATAGATTAAACAATTAATGCCTGTAATTTAGTTCTGATGGAAGCATGCTTGCACTTGACCAAAATGTATGAACGCAGTTCCAAACATAAAGACAAAGCAGTTTTCAGTTTAAAAATATATAATTCACTGAACGATTAAAAAGGTAGTAGCACTTCCCCTGATAATGACGTTTTATTTATTTATTTTTTACACGTTATAGTTTAATTTTCTGGTCAGCCAGTGTTGTACAGAAAAAGGCACCCCTGCTGTGAAAGGTGCCCTGGTTGCAGCCGGCACATTGACAGAAGGGCAGGGTGTCACGTGCAACAGCACTGTTCTGTTCGCAGATATGTCCGTTTTTTAATAATCTGAGTTCACTCTGAAGACATCGATACCAATTATTTCAAACTGGCAACATCGACAGGTCAACCAACCAGTTTCGCTCCAGAGGCCAAATGATAATTTTAAGCTATCCACTTGTTTTGTAAATTGTAAACGGACTCAGTTATCCACTGGTATTGGCACACAGCGCCCATGTTCCCAGCAGAGCAGCTGCTCTTCCAGGCAGTCAACCTTTCACGGCAGAACGAACAGTTGCATCTGCTTTGGTGTTTCATTAAATGCCTCTTGATCAATTAACAGCGCCGACGCCATGTTGCGACGCCGACTTTGCTGGTTCACAGGGAGGTAAAGGATCTTGATGAAAATTGCTCAGCCTTCCTGGCGCATGGGGAGGGCAGTGGGCTTTTTAAGGAGGTGGAGGCTGGTCCCTGGGTGGGCCTTTCTCTCGGGGGGCCCCTATAATTCCAGCTCCCAGCTGCACTGAATAAAAATGCTAGCTACCGGTGAATACACAGATATGTTGATGATTCATCGCACCATCAAATGAATGCACCTGGAACACTTGTCATCATTAAAGTGGTGTTTCAAAAACACCGGCCACGTTTTATGACCTATTTATCAAATGCAACTTTGCATAAACTAATTGCACACACATATACACTTAACTCGTGTATAGAATGGTTGAAATGTCAATGTGTTTATTTCAAATTAGACCAACTACAACAGCCTCTCATGAGTTTATAACCTTCAGGTGCTGCTTTGCACAAGCAGCCGCAACTGTAAATGTTGCGGTCGAGGCGATTCCAAATATCATTTGTCCGCAGGTCAAAGTGTCTTCCACGAAGGTTACTGGACCTCTGATGCAGAAGTCTTGCTTTTGTGTGCAGAAATCAGCCCACTTGAATCCAAAGACGTGTTTTTCTGTCGCCAAGACAAAATACACGACATCTGGTAATAATATCAGCTGGAATACACGTCAGCTGGAAGCAGCCTGATGAGCATGT